AAAACCTCAAAGCATTTCAGTTAAAAAACATACTTATGCTATTCTTTGAATTAACTTAATCAAATGTTCCAACTCCTTGTTTTAACTCTCTATGAATCTTTTGGTTTCAAGGATGTTTCTTTCAAGGAATATGTTGTTGAACAGTATTTCTTAATCCATTCTGCTACCATTCTTTTTATGAGTTAGTTCATTCAATACAAATTCAGTGTGAATTTTAACTATTTTCCCCTCTATCACCATCACTCTTCCCCTGCCCCCTTTTCCTCATCCCTCCAATTCACAAACAAGAAAATAGGGAAAGAAAAGGAACAGGATCAATACTAAAACTCTATAATTGAAGTAGTCTTATCCTTCTTCTTTCCCTCATTTCTTTACTCAGTTGATTTTCTTTGCCCGTGATGAAAATTTCATATTTATCCTTATTGGATATAGGAAGGAAACAAACATTTATTAAGTGCCTACTGTGTGCCAGGTTTTAGACTAAGTGATTTACAAATATTAATCTTACTTGATTCTCATAAAAAAAAACCTGAGGCATAGGTGTTATTACTATCCCCCCATTTTATGTGGAAACTGAGGCAGATAGAGGTTAAGTATCTTCTTCAGAGTCTTATGGCTAGTAAGTCTCTGAGACTGGATTTGAAGTCAGTCCTTCCTCACTATAGAGTCAGTTCTCTATCCATCCTCACACTTAGCTGCCTTAACATTGAGATACCAATAATCTCAACTGATAAGATCCCTTGGGATCTTTACTCTGTCACCAATTATGCCAGAAAATTCTCCCAGCTTTGTGTCTTCAGCAAATTTGATGAGCAAATTTATCCCTTTATGAGAAAAGGTTTGTTAGTAAATAAAAAAACAAAACAAGTTTACTAGACAAACAAAAAACAAAGGTATACAATAAAAAAGAGATAAACAAGGAAATCAAATTTGACTGAAAGAATCCTTACACAATGAACCAATATCAATATTAAATGTGCATATTTAAAATATCATAGTATCTAAACTCACAAAACATACACAATTAACTGACTTGCAAAATGACTTAGGAACATAATAACAATAGAAACTTTAATATCCTTGTTTGATAATTGGACAAATCTAACAGAAAGATAAATAAAAAGGAAATATGGAATTCAACAAAATGGTAGAGGAAGTACAGCTAAATATGGTATTCTCTAAATGAGATTGTGAAAAGATATACATATTTTAGAGTAGCACATTTTTACCAAAAAAAAATAGACAATATATTAAGACACAGAGGACTTATAAATAAATGCAAAAAAAAAGGCAGAAATATTGAACACATTCTTTACAAACCATAACACAATAAAAAGAGTAATCAGTTCATGAAGTGCAAACAAAAGACACAGACCCAAAGTGAGTCTATTTAAAAAATTTTAAATTACAAATGGATCAAAGAACAAATCATAGAACTAATTAATAATTATATGACAGAAAATAATGATGACATACCATACCAAAATTCCTGGGCTGCAGAAAAAAGCAGTCATTGGAGGGAAAATTATGTCCCTAAAAACTAAAATTATCAGAATAGAAAAAGAGAGCATTACTGAACTAAATTTACATTTTTAAAAATTAGAAAGTAAACAAACCCAAAATAATGACAAAAGAGAAGATGCTGAAAATCAGGAGAGATGTGCAAATTAGAAGCCAAGAAGAGTATAAAAATTATGAGCAAAATTAAAAATTGGTTCTTTGAAGTCTAGAGAAATTGTTAAACCTTTAGCAAATGATTAAAAAAAAAGTGTAGAAAGTCAAATCAACAAACTACTGAATGAACAAGTTAAAATTACTCAGAGAAAGAGTAATGTTCCTCCTTGTTCCTCCTCATTTCCTCTCTAGTATGTTGCTTTCTGCCTTCCTTTTATTTCCTTTTATTGCCAAACAAGGAAACAAAATCATACTGCATTTGTCTTTCTTTACACCTTCCAGGATCCTTGAAGACCTCCAGATTCTTAAAGTATACTTTTCTCTTCATTACCATTAAAATTCAAGCACTTGATCCTCTTTCAATCACTTAAATATATTTACATATCTGGGCAGCAAGGTAGACCCTGGAGTCAGGAAGACTTGAGTTCAAATCCAGCCTCAGACACTAGCTGTGTGACCCTGGGCAATTCACTTAACCCTGTTTGCCTCAGTTTCATCATCTATAAAATTAGCTGGAGAAGGAAATGACAAACTACATCAGTATCTTTGCTAATAAAATCCCAAAGGGTTATGATGAGTGGTATTTAACCAAAAAGGACTCAACAGCAGTATTTAATATCTAGATTTTTATTGTCTCCTACCTTTACTTTTCAAAAGTGCTATCCAGCTTTGTTATTTTCCCATTGGAAATCCTTGATAATCTTCTATTAAAGTTTCATTTTCCTCATAGGTAAATATGTACCTTTGCAAGATAAATTATAGCATCTATTACTAAGTATAGTATCTTTATAGTAAGCCTCTATATTTTTATCTTTTGGAATATCATATTCCATAATTTCCTTTGTTGTAGTTGCAGCAGAATCTTGCTAATCTTGATGGTGTACTATCTCTTTCATACTGGCTGCTTATAGTATTTTTCCATGATTTGAAAGCTCTGAATTTTGCCTATAGCATGCTCAAGTATTTTCTTTTTGAAAAAAAAGTTTTTATTAATGTCTTTCATTTTTTATATTCTCATAGTTTTCCTTATCATCCCCCTTCCCCCTCCCAGAGAGTAATCCCATATAACAAAGAGTATTTTTTCCAAAGAATCCCCCTCCAAATAATGAGAAGAGGAAAAAGTCAGCACAACTTATCATTATATTGAAAAAGTTAAAAAATGTGCAATGTGCAATACTTGTGGAGTTCTCACTTGCATGAAAGGGTGGGTTGAGGGTGTCCTCTAATATTTTTTGAGCCATGCTTGATATTTATAACTTTGTTACTTTCATTGTGTGTGTGTAATTATTCTTTCTATTCACATTGTTTTAAGGCATTGTGTACATTGTCTTCTTAGCTCTGCATCAGCTGATGAAGATCTTTCCATGCTTCGTTGTAGTCATCATATTCAAAATTTCTTACAGTATTATAATAATATTTTACATTTAAGTACCCCAACTTGTTTGGCCATTCCCTAATCAATAAATGTTTACTTTTTTTCCAATTCTTTGTTGTCACAATAAGTTCTACTATAAATATTTGGTAATTTTCATATTATCAATGGTTTTCTTTGGGTGAAAGCCCAGTAATAGACTCTGTGGGTCAAACGGCATGGATATTTTAGACACTTTATTTGCATAATTTCACATTTCTTTCCAAAATATTTGTACCAATTCACAACTCCACCAACAATGCATCAGTGTATCTATCATTATCACAACCCCTCCAACATGGACTATTGCTATTTTTTGTCATTTTTGCCAATTTACTAAGGTGAAATGAAATCCTTGGATATTTTGACACCCAGAGACTGATGCTTCTTTAAGGTAATGATTTGAGGATTCTTTATTTTTGTTTTTGTTTTTGTTTTGTTTTGTTTTGTTTTATTTTGTCCTCTGGTGCTAATAGAACTAAACAATTCACTATTTTTTGAAATGTGGACTTTGTGTGTGGGGGGGTTTGTGGTCTTGATTTTCAGTGAGTTTGGTGACTGTAATAGTAGATTTTCTCAACCTTTTTTCTGGCCATTTTTTTTTATTTTTACCATTGATATATTCTATGTTTTTAATTTTGACTTTGTTCTAATATTTCTTAATGTTTAATTTCTCCATTCTGTTTTTCCAGGACTCCACTACTTGAGCAAGGTTTTCCCCATTCTGTGTTGCTATTTATTGTCCTTTGAATATTTTTCCCTCAAAAGCTTTTTCTTTTTTATTAAACCTTTTCTTCATTTCTTCTATCCACTTTTAGACAAAGTTACCCCCACCTCTTCCAACATTTTCTTTGTACTTATTATGGAGTTACTCTCTTCTGAGTTTTCCTTCTTCAGGTACTTTTAGCCCATAGCATTTCTTAATTGTATTTGGAGTTCTCTTTTTATTCATGTCTCTAATCTCAGTTATTAGATTGAGAATTTGTGCTGAGGCTATACTCTATTTACCCTCTCCCATTCTCTTGGAGGGAGTGGGAGGCCCTTGCCTTATTCTGTTCCCTCTGAAGTCTAGTTGACACTGCCACTGCTATTCTGGATAAGATGGTTTTGTCTCATTGCTTAGCTTCTTCCTCTATCTTCTGATAGCTGAACATGGGTACTGGTTTTGGCCCCATCTCTGTCTTCTCCTTAGACAATCACCAATAGGGAGTTTGCTTTGTTCCCTGCTATTACTCTGACAGGCCCCATGCAAATGTCTGAGGTGTTAATGGTCTCAGGCTTCCTCATGGATCTTTAGCATGGCCTACTTGGGTACAGCAATGGCTCTCAATTCTGTGTTCGCTGCCTGGCCTCATGTACCATAAGGGCCAAAATTGAAGATTGGCTCTACCCCGTAGCCTCAAGGCTCCCAAAAAGCCAGGGTTGAGATCCTCCTGATTTCAGGCCCTTCACTGGAAATGTAGCTGGTTTCCTCAAACCTTGGTCTTTCCCCACATAAAGGGTTGGAAGACTTCTGGTCATTTTCTTCTACCATTCTAGACAATAGAGAGGAGCTTACTATGACTTCCCTTGGTTTCTTGATTATTTTCCTTCTGACTTCTTTTTTGTTCTTTCCTATAGTGTTTTTCAAGAAAGCTGGGCTGGCTAGAACATTTCTCATCACCATCATACTCATAAACTCCAGTAAATCACAAGTTTTCTATATACACAATATAATTAAAGATATAAAGATTAGAAGATCCAATTGTGCTTATAATTTGTTGACTGCATAAAAAAGGTTTACTAAGTTGAGTAAAATACCGCTTTTAAAGGCTCTCCTCCAACAGTGCTCCCATGTACATGTACAAGAATCCTTGAAACATAATATCAGAGATAACTTTGTTCAATAATTTGATTATTAATATCAAACAAGGCATGAAAAAGGAGGATGTTTACTTTTCAGTGGCATTCACCATTATCATGGATGAAATACAATATTGAGTCCAAGTTGAAGAATAATTTGCTTGTTAATATGGCAAGGTCCTCCATCATAGGGTGATGAATTTTTTCTGGTTTCACCAAGTCCTATAACATTGTAGATACTCCTAAAAAAAGTGAATAAACAATTTATATCATCCTGGTGATGCTATGCAATTAAGTGGAGTAATGCATAGACATACTGGAAATATATCCTTACCCCCATTCACTGTCCTCTGTGTGTATGTGTGTGTACACACATATATTTTTATATATACATACATATGCACACCCACATATGTACTATATACATTTGTACTATATATACATGTTTATACTAGTATGTATATAAGTACATATAGATTAATATATATGGTATCCATATCCATATACATATATGCACATACAAGTGTGACTACATGTATGTGGGGTGGGGGTCTGCAGAGGTCCTAAGGCTGAATCATGAGAGCGCCAAGAGAGTAATGACCACAACAAAGTAGCAAAAATGAATTCTGATAAGGATATGTCTTCAGCATCAAGAAGAAGCCTTTTAAAGGCACACTTTTCTTGCCCATTAGAATGTAAACATTTCATCATTTATCCCTTTCCAATTGCTCAAATTATGAAATAAACAACTTTAGGGGGGATCTTCCACAATCACTGACTCCATCTGGACTTAGGCTTCAATGAAACTAAATAGAGTACAATTAGGTGGTACAGTGGATAGAGCTTAGGAACTGGAATCAGTAAGACTAGAGTTCAAATCCAGCCTCAGATACTGACTAGTTATATAACCCTGGGTAAGTCATTTCACCTCTGTTTTAGTTTCTCCATCTATAAAATGGGGATCATAATAACACCTTATTCCCAGGGTGGCTGTAAGGCTAAAATAATATTTGTAAAGTGCTTTGTAAACTTTAAAGTATTACATAAATACTATTATTATTGCCATTATTATTATATTATTCAGATTGACTCAGGGTATAAAATCTAGAATATCACTCATGATACTCGAAGCAGTTTCAAATAGGGAATGACTTGGCCAGGTCTTGCATTTTGTCTAAGTAGATGTTACCAATGATTCTGCTGGCTAGGTCAGAGTAGTCATTGTTGCAGCTGAAATAGAGAGCTCCGTTGTCTATCCTATCTTTCCATGTGAAATCTACAAATTCCTTGTCTCCTGTAGATAAAAAAAATGTAAATGGACAATGAATTAATTGAATACTAGGAACAAGGAATGCAAGGAACTCTGGGAAATGCCAAAGTTCTTTTAATAATCTCCAAACTTTCCTCTGGAAGAAAAGCTTAGAAATATTCTTAAAAGCAGTATTCTTAACAATTGTGAATACTTGTTAGATATTGACCATCACAGTATTCTTTTTTTTGGTATGATTTGGTTGTCAGTCATGGAACACTATAATTTCAGAACTGAAATTAAGGACAAACTAAAATGATGCATTGTAGGCTGAGCAGTATGCATTATACTATATGTTAGAAACAGTGAATTAAAAAGTAAGTTTTGTAAAGGAGGAAGAATGTCATTAAAAAAAAGTATGAGTGGAAAAGATGGGCCAATGAGAATGAGGGATAACGATAGACATGCCACATGAACTTTACAAACAATCTCACTTGATCCTCACAAAAACCCTGGAAGGTAAGTAATATTATCATCCCCATTTTATAGTTGAGGAAACTGAGACAAACAAAGGTTTGGTTTGTTGCCCAGGATCACATAGCCAGTAAGTGTCTGGGGTTGGATTTGAACTCAGGTCTTTCTGATTTCAGGTTCAGTGCTCTTTTCATTATATCTTCTAGCTGCCTCTAACTACACATTTGTAGTGCATTAGAGAATAAGTGGACACAGTGAATGGAAAAATAAAGAAATCAGAAAAAGAAGAGCAGGAAAATTTGATTTAGGTTTAAATTTCTGGATACTAGGCATAGTGGCTTTTATAATGTCCTGTTCCCTACTATGCCACCAGGGGTATCTACCTGCATCTGTGTGAATCTTTGTAGGGCATTGCACCAACATGGAACCATTCAATAATTTTTTTTTTTTTTGGTAAAGCAGTTATGATTCACAACCTTGTTTCACACATAACCAAGTTAGGAAGTGACTTTGAAGGTGCTGTGGTCCAAAGTGTGTACATAAAAGATAGGTCTTTATTACGAACTTATGTCATGAAGCTGTCCTTGGACACTCTAAGCCTTATGACCTTAGGCCAAAGGTAGAATGAAACCCGGTGTGGTAGAAATAGAGAAAGATTTTGACCAGCATTCAGATCCCAGGCTCTACCATTTATTACTTGTGTGACATCTTTGGAAATCTGTTTCTTCACCTGTAAAATTAAGGGGCAGATTAGATCAATGATTCTCAAAATTTGTGGTCTTAGGACCCCTTCATGTTCTTAAACAATTATTGATAGCTCTAAAGATTTCTTGTTTATGTAAGTTATATCTGCCCATATTTAAATTTGAAAAATTCAATATATTAATCAATTTA